GTTTAATCTCCACTAGTACTGCACACATGACACATCTTCATAGTTTTGTTAGTTTGTCTTTTCTTACTCAGAATGCACCCTGTTTTCCCTCTTTCGAGAACCCTAACTCTTCATATTGTATACAAATGAAGGTGGCAGCGGTTTGATCACCAGCTCCTGCAGCTACATGTTGAAATGTCTTTGGTAAAGAACATAACAAAACTCAATGACTGTTCATCGAGCACCACCATGAAGTTCATATTTGTGGTTTTAAGTGAAAGGTTTCAACAACTGTGGGTGACTGGCATTGATATTTGACAAACTGCTCACCATAGATGGAAGTACTTGACCTGTACCTCATAACTGGGTTACCCTAGAATAACTAAGCTCTTCTTTGCTCTCCACTTTCTGTTCATGCAGGAGAGTAAAAGATCTGCCAATGACCTGAGTGGGAGAACCGATGGAAACACCAAAGTCATTTTCCCCAAAGAGGAAGTTGCTGTTCAGTCTGCAGAATCCAACAGAGCACCAATCAGCGCTGGAGACTACGTGCTGGTGGAGGTACAGATACATCTTATACACATCTCGAGACTGATCGATGTTTATTACAGATATACTGGTACATGCTAGAGATGCATTTGTCACTTTAATATTCCCATCAGTGTATTTGAAACAATAACATGTCCCACTCACTGGCTGTGATTTAATAACCACATTTAAAAGCCCTGATATCTTTTTTTTCCAATCAGCTTCTCGATTTCTATCACGATTTGAAAACATTTGAATTACAATCGGGTGGCTAATGATTTGTCGTTTGATCCCTGTCAATTCCCAACACATTCACAGTCCCAAGGAGGCAGGTTTACAGATTTACCCTCAGTCATGATTATTTAATGTCATAGACTAACACTTCAAGATTCCACGTGTGATTTGTGTTTATGGTGAAAAAGTTCTATTGCTATCACCCCTCAAACCCATGTCACCGTCAGGCTGTACTTCAAAGATCGGAAACATTTACTTAAAGATGGAGATGAAAACTTTTGGTTTGAAAGTATTTCTTTATTTATCCTAAAATGAAAAATACACAGGTGTTCCAGTGTTTAATACAATCATGTATTATCATGGATTCTGCTACTGCTGTAACAAACCAACCATTATAAACAAGCTTAAGCATGCAAAGATTAAAGAATAAACAAATATTTTAAGGCATTATCTGGTTCTCTTCATGGTTTGTGTCTCTGATATAGATTTTGTCGGCCAACTCCCAGAGCTTGAGAGGCCGAGCCCTCAGTCACAGCTCCCTGAGAGAGACGGTGAAGAACTACGATGAACATGTGTCCTCGAACACAACCATGACCGAAACAGGCCCATGATGGACACGAGAAAAACCACTGGAAAGATGGGGGAGCTAGTGCACCGCCATCTTTTTTGGGAAGGCACACTGTGGCTGTTTTTCAAGGACTCTTGGTCACATTGGACTGTTGTGATGAGCTATTAAAACTGCAATATGTTATTTAAACTGTCGGTACTAAGTGTGTTTATTTACATATTGAACTGACGACTCTCTAATACAGCTATTATAATTGGAAAAACTTGAGAGCGGTGTCTTTATTCAGAAATAATGACACATTCTTGTGAGCGGATTAATGTAGGAACTATTTTCTTCTACTATTTCAACCTAACTTCACGCATCATCGATTGAGCTCCAGCTTCTTGTCCATGAGTCGATGCAAGCTTCGTTAATCACATTGGCACGTGTAATTTGGTAGAAAGAAAATAATTCCGACAGCAAACTGCTCACAACAATGTCTGTGGATTATGTTAAGTAACTCGGTCTCGATTTCTGGAAAGAGACATCGTGCTGGTGAGTTTTATTCAAATGTGTTTTATTGGGGCTTTGAGCAGAACGAACTAAGGTCT